CACACACACACACACTCACACACACACTCACACACACACACACTCACACACACACTCACACACACTCACACACACACTCACACTCACACACACTCACACTCACACACACACTCACACACACACTCACACACACACACACACACACACACACACACTCACACACACACACACACACACACACACACACACACACACACACCGCTAATGTAATAAAAGGCTGAAGATCAGCTGCAGTACTTTATATCTGTTTACCGTCTAAAATCTCTATTGTGTTTTCTGCTGATCAGATTAAAGTACGCTTTAATTTCTTCCTAAATCCACTGGTACCCACTGGCTTCCTCCATGTTTCCTAGCAACAGCTGGGCGAAACAGAATCACCTGTCATATGACTTTAACAAGTGAACAAACTTCTATGCAGATTTTTGAAATTTTATTTGATGTTTGTTCCGTGCACTGACGCTGCAGTGTGTGTGTGTGTGTGTGTGTGTGTGTGTGTGTGTTTATGTGTGTGTGTGTGTGTTGTTTGTATGTGTTGTGTACAGCAGGAGCTGCATCACCATGGTGACAGTTTGTGAATGTATAACGTCTGGCCCACACTACAGGATAATCAGGCTGAATTTGAGGACAATTCGACCCTCCTGCAAATCACTGAATGTGTCTCAGTTTAGTCCAGATTATCCTGTGGTGGTAGGTGTATAATCTAAATTATCCTGAGGTGGCGGATGTATAATTCAAATGATCCTTTAGTCTAGGGGGTGTATAATCCAGATTATCCTATAGTCTAGGGATTTATAACACAGATTATCCTATAGTTTAGGGGTATATAATCCAGATTATCCTATAGGTTAGGGATATATAGTCCAAATTATCTTGTGGTGTGGGGGCATATAATCCAGATTATCCTGATGTGTGGGCTACATATAGTCCATATTGGTCCTGTGGTGGGGGGTACATTATCCAGATTATCCTGTGGTTAGGGGATGTATAATACAGATTATCCTTTGGTGTGGAGTTTTAAAGTATGCTTAAGTGTGCATTATGGAAATACACCTGTATAAGTGTGTCTCTTAACATACATACATATATATATATATATATATATATATATATATATAATTATATATATATGACTTTTAAAGTCTGCTTTAGTTTATTTTAGTTATTTTAGGTGCAGTAAATCTCAAACTAACTAACAATCAGAAATGAGTATCAGGACACCAGAGAGTATCTGTTTAAAATGTTTCATGTGTAATAGAATTTGTATTATCTTCACTTCAACATACGTCGTTCCAATTTAAAACAGAAAAGCACTTTTAGGCATAAAGATGTATTTCATGATTTCTTAAGTATAATTGAAGTATATATATTCCATTTAATTACTCATAATGTTTAAGTGAATACTTAATTATGTACACTTAAATTCATGTTTGAGTATATTTAGTATATTTAGTGATTTTCAAATAGAATTTAAAATGTCATTTTAGTATAACTCAACAAGTAGCATTCAAGTGCCTCAGCACATCCACCATATATTTATAATAAACAAACAATATTTTCCAAGTATAATAAAAGTTATGTCCACAAATTGTATAGTAAATCTACTTAATGGCACCTAAAGCTGTTTGAAAAAAGCTCTCAAAAGCACAACTAAATGCATTCACTATATGTTTTATCATAGCTTAATTATAATTTAAATACACTGATGTTTTTCCAGAATTATACATTTAGTATGTATTGAAGTATGTATTAAAGTGTAAACATTAAAAGTATGTTTTTTTTGTATTAAATAATTAAATGCATTTCTTTTTTCACAAAGTTAGGCCTGTTATAATTATGAGATAATCACATCATCACAATTAACTGTTGTGAAAAGGTGTTATATTCGTAGATCAGGACCAACACGGTGTGATTTGAGTGCATTTTCATCAGTTGGATTGAGGAACATACAAGTAAGAACTTCTGTGCTCCGAGTCCAGAGACGCAGAACAGTGACAGTTCAATCACTCGGAGAGCAGCTTTCACTTCAAACACATTCCGTACATATTACCATGGAGACACATTTATTTTCCTTCATATTTAATTAGTGGTTTTAATTAAGAACATTTGTGTTGCTTTGTTCTCTTTTAAAAACAGCAGAACTTTCATCGTCCTGTAAACGTTTAAACACTCCACACCGGATCAGCACTAATTCTAAAGGTGACGCTCTGAGGGTGTGTGTGTGTGTGTGTGTGTGTGTGTGTGTGTGAGTGTGTGTGTGTGTGTGTGTGTGTGTGTGTGAGAGCTGCAGGAAGTGCCAGGCTGTTGCTAAGTTACAGTTCTATCTCCAGTCTTTGTTGAGGAACAGAATGTTACAGCTTTAATGTTGGACGTGTTTTTGTTTAGCTCATTATTATCTTTCATGTTTGTTTACTTGTTTGTAAGTTGTTTCAGTGTAAATAAAAGCCATATTTCATGCTCACAAAACGACCGTAATTGATCTCTTCTACAAAGTTCCTGACTGAGTTTGAGGTTATTAAGTGACGTCAAGTTAATTCTGACGTGTTTCTCCAGAATAGCCTGTCTTCTGTTTGGGTCTTCAGGATTCTGAATGGCTGGTTCATGATTCCTCTGATTGTCTCCATCTATCTTATTGCTTGCCATCCTCTTTTTCTTTTATCTTCAGCTGTACCAGGCATAATTGTCTTGTTATCTGGGCTTCAAGTGAAACTATTTGTTCAAGGATACATTTGCTTGTTTTCTTTGCCATCCAAGATACTCTGAAAACTACAGTAATGCCAGAGTTTAAAGGCATCAGCATTTATCCTGCCTTGATTTCTTGTCCAACATAAAGAGTAGAAGGAAAGACCACAGCCTGGAGAATCTGATCTTTGTTTGCTGAGACACATCATTACATCTGAAGATCTTTTTAAGGTCCTTCATCCTTGTTTGGCCGAGTGTCTGTGTATCTGTTTGTATGTCTTGATTGATAACTGATCCAAGTAGGCAAAAGCTGCCCACCACTTCCACATCTTCACCACCAATGAAAAAGTTAGAGGTCTTTCCTCATTGCTTCTCTCATTGTATGTTCTGTATGCAAGTTAAACAGGTGTGGTGACAGTGGACAGCCTTGTCTTTGTTCTTCGCTGATGTGAAACCAGTCCGTCAGGTCAAGTCAAAGTTTATTTATATAGCGCTTATTACAACAGGTGTTGTCACAAAGCAGCTTTACAGAAAAATCCAGGTCTGAGCCCCTATAAGCATCACCAATGAGGACAGTATCAAGAAAAACTCCCTAAGAGCAAGAAGAAGAAACCTTGGGAAGAACCAAGACTCAGAAGGGGAACCCATCCTCCTCTGGTCGACACCGGATAGCAAACTGTGGCTTGTTGATCAGTGTAGAGGTTCCTCATTAGAACAATGAGATTCTCTATTATCTTGAGGATGTTCAATACTTTGACATGGTTGACATAGTTGAAGGTTTTGCTGTAGTCAGTGGAACACATATTGACTTCCTTCTTGAATTCTCTGGCTTTTCCAGTAATCCCACAATGATATCTCTTGTTCCGCTGCCTTTGCTGAATCCTGCTTGCACGTCTGGCAGTTCTCTTTCACTGTAAGGCTCTAGTTGACACTGAATGATCCTGAGCATAACTTTATTGGTATGTGATGTAACGGAAACGATGGTTTTCGCCATATTTCTGATCACCTTTCTTTGGAGCTGGGATATAAACTGACCTCTTCACATCTGCTGTCCACTGAGTAGTTTTCCAGATTTGTTCTTTAGAGTCTTGAAATATTTTTGTGGCAGTGTTATCGATACCTGTAGTGTTCATTTTCAGCAGTGATCTCAGGGCCTGCCTGACTTCATCGTCTAGCACTGAAGATCCTTCTGTGTAGCCAACATCTACAAAAGTGTCTCGCCAGCGGACGTCTTTTTTTCTGGAGAATTGCTGTGTATAAACAAAAATAACCCGAAAAGGACCAGAGGGGCCCACCTCCATCAGAAGGGTGTCCTGGATTGGTCAGAAGGATGTCCCTGATTAGTTAGAAGGCTGTTCTTGAATGGTCAGAAGGCTGTCTGTGATTGGTCAGAAGGCTGTCCTGGATTGGTCAGAAGACTGTACCTGGTTAGTCAGAGGCTCAGCTCTGATTGGTCCAAGAGCTGTTCATAATCTAAATCCCGATTTTAACCTGCATTGGAGCAGTTTATTTGTGCAGTTGCCATTATGATGTAGTCGGATTAAAATGCTAGATCCAGGAATAGATCAAGCTAAAAGCTGGATAAGCAAGAAATCTTGTTTCTGGAGACAGAGCAGAATCATAGTCAACACTAGAACGAGTGTGAGGAGCTCTTGATTCATCAGTAAGTATCTGGTATAGTGGCGTGTTTTGGTGTATTCTTTCTCTAGATTCTCACAGAATCTCATAGATTCATTTGCATAAAATACATCATACCCAGACTGATAAAACTGGAGCTTCCTCCAGTTTAGATCTCCAGTACTGCTGTATGAAGCTCCATCCATTCAGAGGTCAACCCAGACAAAACAGAGTGAAACCTTGTGCACAACATTGAATCACTATCATAGACCTGTGACTCTAAACGGCTCCTCACAGTGATTTCACTGAAATCCTTTCAGCAGCTTTTACTGTGCATGAAGAATAGTGAGTGATTACTGTCATTGTGATGGTAATTAGCATTCAACACTCACAAACACCTCGTCTCTCTCTCTCTCTCTCTCTCCCTCTCTCTCTCTCTCTTTCTTTCTCTCTCTCTCTTCCTCATTGCTCTCTCTCCTTCATTGTGTGTCTCCCTGTCTCTCTCATCTTTCTATCTCTGCCTTTATCTCTCTATCCCTCATTTCTTTCTCTCTCTCTCTCTCTTTTCTCAACTCATGCTGAACACAGTAAGGGAAGCTTATCGCCTGGCAACCGCAATTAAAGTACAACTGAGCGCAGACAGACCACCAGCTAGAGAGGGAGAGATAGAGAGAGAGAGAGAGAGAGAGAGAGAGAGGGATAGAGGGAGGTATGAGCAGGTATATTGCAGTAGTGAATGGTGAAGTGGACGTGAATGGACTGACGTTTGCGGAGGAGAGAGAGAAAGAGGGAGCGAGCGAGGCAGACTGGACTGTGCTGGTATGTGCTGACTACACGATCATTCACCAATTCATTTACACACTGAGCACTATTGTTCATGCGTGTGTGTGTGTGTGCGTGTGTGTGTGTGTGTGTGTGTGTGTGTGTGTGTGTGTGTGTGTGTGTGTGTGCGTGTGTGTGTGTGTGTGCGTGCGTTTCCTCGTGGAAGTTTTGCCTTAAAGTTTGTAGATGGAGGTTAATTTAACAGTTTGGTATTATAAAATAAATAACAGCTACTTTTCATTATTATTGCCATTATTATTACTGTAGCAACATTAACAGTAAATACATGTAGATGTGGTTATTAAATTATTAGACAGACAGATTCAACTATGTCACTGCTTAGTACAAGTTCAAGGCAACGAAATACAGTTAGTATCTACCAGTAGTGCAAATAGGGAACACAGCTCTGAACAGCTGTTCACACACAAAATCATCATATTTTACATTAAAACACTAAAAAGTGCTGAACTGCAGAAAATATGATGATCCTTAATGTTCCACACTGATTTTGGGACACACTTACTGCAAAACAATGGGATCTAACTCCAAACATGCAATCACCAAACGTCCAGTTTATCGTTTTAATTTTATTAGATGTGTTGTAGTTTTATGAGGTAAATAAGATGACTCTGACCTGATCTGTCCAGGTCTCATCTTGATCTTAACTCAGACTCGCCTCTAATAGTTTTGATGACAGTAGTGTAGACATTTTTTAATACCAGCTTTGCTCATTAAAGTGTAGACAGTGTCATTTAATCCACACAGCATGAGCTTAAGTCTAATAAAAAAAGCCAAAAATCAGCAGTTGGCCAAACTGACTGTAAAGAAATTGGAACTGGAAGTGGCCGTAAAAATGAATGACTGGTGCATCCCGACTTGTGTTAGTCTAATCTGACTGATTTCACTAAATGATTCTACAGCACAAATACAGTCATCGGTGCAGTTCTTACGTTACCCAGACTCAGGTAAAGGTCAGTGACACCGCGGGAGTTTTCCTCTCTCCAGCTGTTTGACTTAACTGATGAAACGCACCACTTAAAACCTTCTAAACCCTCACACACTGATCTAAATGTCACTCCCTCTCTCTCTCTCTCTCTCTCTCTCTCTCTCTCTCTCTTCCTCTCTCTCTCTTCCTCTCTCTCTCCCTCTCTCTCTTTCTTCCTCTCTCTGTGAAGAAGTGCTGTGTTTTTACTGTAAAGCGTGTGATTTATATGGTCTGTTTGTTTTAACTTTCCTCTGAAAGTGTGAGAACGTTAAAGCTGTTAAACAGACAGGTGTTTTGAACAGTTGTGTTTATTCTGAATGAAAATGTGAAGTGAAGGTAAAAGAAATGTCTTTGGAAAATCAGGCAACATGACAAAACAGCATATCTCATTTTATTGTGTAGATCATACAGTACTGTGTGAAGGTCTTAGGCACCTGTGTGCATTGTTTAAAACCGTCTGTCTCGGCTTATGTGTGTATAAATACAGTAAAAAGTATTTCTCATTTGGAAAAAAGCAGTTGGTATCTTGAACGAGTTTGAAGAACAGAGTTTGGTCCCAGATTTCTCTTGATTACTTCTTAGTTTTTGAGACGACAACTCAAGTTCAGGTTGAAGACTGACTACGTTGGGTGCTGGAGTCAGCTCATACCCATGTGCTGCACATGAACAAGGTCCTAAACACAATCACATAGATTGGAATGCAGATTGAATCAATAACAAACAAACCAGGTACAACTCCTCAATAAATTTAAGGATAACAATAACGAATTGTTTTCATCTCAATGTTAAACATTATGTTCATAAAGATAGATTAAATAAATAGAAAATTAAATAGAACAAAACAGTTGAGATATATTCTAGCAAGGTGTTTTATATTACATTAACTAGAAAGTAACAATTTAGTTACACAGGGATTCTAGGAAACATCATTTCTCTGCATGAGCCAGAAAAAGGTTCCTATAGTTTATTAAAATGAGTCGAGTCTTTTCATTTTTTGTATATTGTATATTAATTATATGCTGAGAAAATATCTCTAATCCAAGTAAGGTGAGTGTGAGAGATGGAAGATGGAGAAGAAGGAGAAATGCTATAAAGTCTTATTTTAATCTAGTAAAGGAGGCGTCCTCAGGTAGGAGATCAAAAACAGCTGTAATGGGAGTCGGACTGATGCACCTTTCAAGAATGTCTGAAATTGTATTGAAGATATCTGACCAGTAATGCTGTAATGCTGGACACTTTCAGATCGTAAGGATTAGCTATGCAGGGGCCTGTCGACACCTGGCAGTTCATGTATACATCATCATATGTCCTAGAACAGGGGTGCACAACTCTGGTCCTGGAGGGCTGGTGTCCAGCACAGTTTGGAGGTTTCTCTACTCAAACATTCCCACTAAACCTGGCAATTAGTAGATGAAGGTAATCAGGTGTGTTTGAGCAGGTAAATCACCAAACTGTCAACCTTAATAAACACTTCTATACACTAGAAAAGGAGATATTAGTCCATAAACAACCTTAATAAGCACTTCTATACACTAGAATAGGAGATATTAGTCCATAAACAACCTTAATAAACACTTCTATACACTAGAGGAGGAGATATTAGTCCATAAACAACCTTAATAAGCACTTCTATACACTAGAAAAGGAGATATTAGTCCATAAACAACCTTAATAAACACTTCTATACACTAGACGAGGAGATATTAGTCCATAAACAACCTTAATAAACACTTCTATACACTAGAATAGGAGGTATTAGTCCATAAACAACCTTAATAAACACTTCTATACACTAGAGGAGGAGATATTAGTCCATAAACAACCTTAATAAACACTTCTATACACTAGACGAGGAGATATTAGTCCATAAACAACCTTAATAAGCACTTCTATACACTAGACGAGGAGATATTAGTCCATAAACAACCTTAATAAACACTTCTATACACTAGAATAGGAGATATTAGTCCATAAACAACCTTAATAAACACTTCTATACACTAGAATAGGAGATATTAGTCCATAAACAACCTTAATAAGCACTTCTATACACTATAATATGAGATATTAGTCCATAAACAACCTTAATAAACACTTCTATACACTATAATATGAGATATTAGTCCATAAACAACCTTAATAAACACTTCTATACACTAGACGAGGAGATATTAGTCCATAAACAACCTTAATAAACACTTCTATACACTAGACGAGGAGATATTAGTCCATAAACAACCTTAATAAACACTTCTATACACTAGACGAGGAGATATTAGTCCATAAACAACCTTAATAAACACTTCTATACACTAGAATAGGAGATATTAGTCCATAAACAACCTTAATAAACACTTCTATACACTAGAATATGAGATATTAGTCCATAAACAACCTTAATAAACACTTCTATACACTAGAATGAGATATTAGTCCATAAACAACCTTAATAAGCACTTCTATACACTAGATGAGGAGATATTAGTCCATACACAACCTTAATAAACACTTCTATACACTAGAGTATGAGATATTAGTCCATAAACAACCTTAATAAGCACTTCTATACACTAGAATAGGAGATATTAGTCCATAAACAACCTTAATAAACACTTCTATACACTAGAAAAGGAGATATTAGTCCATAAACAACCTTAATAAACACTTCTATACACTAGAATAGGAGATATTAGTCCATAAACAACCTTAATAAACACTTCTATACACTAGAATAGGAGATATTAGTCCATAAACAACCTTAATAAGCACTTCTATACACTAGACGAGGAGATATTAGTCCATAAACAACCTTAATAAGCACTTCTATACACTAGAATAGGAGATACTGATCCATAAACAACCTTAATAAACACTTCTATACACTAGAATATGAGATATTAGACCATAAACAACCTTAATAAACACTTCTATACACTAGAATGGGAGATATTAGTCCATAAACAACCTTAATAAGCACTTTTATACACTAGAATAGGAGATATTAGTCCATAAACAACCTTAATAAGCACTTCTATACACTAGAATAGGAGATATTAGTCCATAAACAACCTTAATAAGCACTTCTATACACTAGACGAGGAGATATTAGTCCATAAACAACCTTAATAAACACTTCTATACACTAGAATAGGAGATATTAGTCCATAAACAACCTTAATAAGCACTTCTATACACTAGAATAGGAGATATTAGTCCATAAACAACCTTAATAAGCACTTCTATACACTAGACGAGGAGATATTAGTCCATAAACAACCTTAATAAACACTTCTATACACTAGAATAGGAGATATTAGTCCATAAACAACCTTAATAAACACTTCTATACACTAGAATAGGAGATATTAGTCCATAAACAACCTTAATAAGCACTTCTATACACTAGACGAGGAGATATTAGTCCATAAACAACCTTAATAAACACTTCTATACACTAGAATAGGAGATATTAGTCCATAAACAACCTTAATAAGCACTTCTATACACTAGAATAGGAGATATTAGTCCATAAACAACCTTAATAAGCACTTCTATACACTAGACGAGGAGATATTAGTCCATAAACAACCTTAATAAACACTTCTATACACTAGAATAGGAGATATTAGTCCATAAACAACCTTAATAAACACTTCTATACACTAGAATAGGAGATATTAGTCCATAAACAACCTTAATAAGCACTTCTATACACTAGACGAGGAGATATTAGTCCATAAACAACCTTAATAAGCACCTCTATACACTAGACGAGGAGATATTAGTCCATAAACAACCTTAATAAGCACTTCTATACACTAGAATAGGAGATATTAGTCCATAAACAACCTTAATAAGCACTTCTATACACTAGAATAGGAGATATTAGTCCATAAACAACCTTAATAAGCACTTCTATACACTAGACGAGGAGATATTAGTCCATAAACAACCTTAATAAACACTTCTATACACTAGAATAGGAGATATTAGTCCATAAACAACCTTAATAAACACTTCTATACACTAGAATAGGAGATATTAGTCCATAAACAACCTTAATAAACACTTCTATACACTAGAATAGGAGATATTAGTCCATAAACAACCTTAATAAGCACTTCTATACACTAGAATAGGAGATATTAGTCCATAAACAACCTTAATAAGCACTTCTATACACTAGACGAGGAGATATTAGTCCATAAACAACCTTAATAAGCACTTCTATACACTAGAATAGGAGATATTAGTCCATAAACAACCTTAATAAGCACTTCTATACACTAGAATAGGAGATATTAGTCCATAAACAACCTTAATAAGCACTTCTATACACTATACACTATAATCCTTGACCTTGACGCCTCCAGAAGACCAGACCACCGTTAAGGATGTAGGTATGAGTTATGAAATGAACACTGCAAACAAAATATGAAGCCAATGACATCAGACAAAAACAAACTGAAACAGAAAAGCTACGTACACCAACGACAAAAACAGAAACCGCCTGGGAAAGGAGGGTAACAGACTACACAGGTAAAACACTTGTGAAAAGGTGGGGCTACATGGGAGGAGACAGGAGTGGGCGGAGTTAGAAACAGAACACAGTAATATCACTTTAGATTAGGGGCTGCAGAAACAGCTTATAAGTCATTTATAAGCCGTGACCAGGTTATGGTTTATCTTTGTCTTACAGTGAAACGTTACTGTATTGAATAATGATGAATAACTCAACACACCTGATTTGTTCACAAACAGCTGCTGAAAATGGACCCAGAATGCTTTAGCCATGATACAGACTGCTGTTAATGTGAAGACAGTGAGAGGAGACGTTTCTCCTCTGACTTTCAGCGTTTACTCACGGTTGCTAAGTTTTCTTTCTCTGAATTAGAGGAAAAGGAAGACTGAATGACAGTTCTAGCTAGTGAGGTACTTTATGAGTTCTTACTCACCCGTCTCCCTGGAGATGAGGTCAACAAACCCCCGACTGAGTCTGTAAACGAGTGAAGTGCTCCATAGTGTCCCTCATGCTCTTATAGTGGGTAGAACTCAGCTGATCTACAGTGTTTTTGCATACAGACTGTCTGCGTTACTGTGTACGCACTGTCTCACTCTCTGAAATGGTAAAATAGTTTGTTCTGTGTTTTTCAGAGTCTGGGTTCTGCAGACAGAAAGGAGGCCAGACAGAGAAGGTGAGTCTCTCTTTTCACTCTGTGACCAATTAAATTACTCCACTGTCCACTCATACAGCAGTGTTCTAGCAGCCTGTACTGGTGCTCAGCTCACCTGCTGTAGTTCAGTGCTAATGTGCTGATATTTGTGGTCAGTGCTTCATGCTGTAGTTGTAGTTGTTCCTTCATGTTCAGTACTGGAAGGCCATTTGGCTAAGACTCACTGTCAGGGATACCCATATCGCTCTAAAGCAGTCACCTGTTTTTGCTGGTCGGCATGGTAACTAGCTAGTAGAGGCTTTTCGCTGGGCACTTTGCACTGGATAGGATTTCTCTGATTAGTGTCAGAGTGAATTTACAAAAGCACAGTGACTGTGTAAAAACAGGGTCTGAGTGATCTGGTCTGAGGAAGCCGTTCATGGAAAATGTTTCTTGGTTTTTATATCTCCTTTAGCCGCATTCTTGATCTTTTACAGAAGAAGTGCTGCTTCTCTGGGGAAGACACCCGCACTCTCTTCAGATCCTTTACGCTTCGCTTGGCTCGAGTAGCTGAAGTTACTTTTGGTGAAAATGTGCAGTAAGATTTAGGGTCCTGCAGTGATTTTACAACTCTAACACCTCTAAAGACAGCAGCTTCACACTTCAGTCAGCAGCAGAGATGCTAATACTACTACTACTACTACTGATAATAATAATAATAATAATAATAATAATAATAATAATAAATGTAATTTATGTACCACCTTTCTCATAAACCAAGGTTGCTTTAGAGAAAAATGACATAAAAACACCAACTACATAACCACCTCAGAACAAGCGCGTTAGATAAAAAACAAACAAGGACGACATCAGCAGGAGGGAGAAGGAGAAAGGAAGTGCTGAGGAAGGAGAAAGGTGTTGATCTGGCCTCAGACGCTGAAGAGCAGACTGGGAGAGACTAGTTCCACAGTGTGGGGGTCATGAGGCTGAATGATCTGCCCCCAGCGATGACCAGGCTCAGAAGATCTAAGGGTAATGGCAGGACAGTAAGGCTGAAGAAGTTCAGCTAGATAGGTCAGAGCTAGACTATGAGGATGAAGATGATGATGGTGATGCTGATGGTTACGAAGATTGTTGTGATAACAATCGGGAGGATTATAGTGATGATTGTGATCATGATGATGAGCATTATAATAGTGGTGAGGAGGGATGTAATAGAGATGATGGTGATGGTGACAATGAGGATTGTGGTGGTGGTGATGATGGTGATGATGATGGTGACCATGAGGACTGTAGTGGTGATGATGAATGATGATAATCATCATGATAATGATGGCAGTGATTGTAATGATGATGATGGTGATGATGATGATGGTTATGGTGATGGTAATGATGAGGATGGTGATGATAAGGATGGTGATGGTGGATGATGAGGATGGTGATGGTGATGATGAGGATGTGATGGTGGATGATGAGGATGGTGATGGTGATGATGAGGATGGTGATGATAAGGATGGTGATGGTGGATGATGAGGATGGTGATGATGAGGATGGTGATGATAAGGATGGTGATGGTGGATGATGAGGATGGTGATGGCGGATGATACTGATAATGGAGATGATGGAGATGACGATGTTGATGAGAATGATGTGATGGAGATGATGATGACGTTGATGATGAGGAGGTGATGGTGAATGATAATGCTGATGGAGATGATAGTGAAGATGATGATCGATATGATAGTTATGGTGATGGTGATACGGATGGTGATGCTGAATGATGATAATTATAATTATGATGAGGATGGTGATGGTGGATGATGATGGTTATGGTGATGGTGATGTGATGGAGATGTTGATGGAGATGATGTTGATGGTGATGAGAATGGTGATATGATGGAGATGATAATGATGGAGATGATGATGATGATGATGACGTCGATGGTGATGGTGAGGATGGTGATGGTGAATGATAATGATGATGGAGATGATAGTGAAGATGATGATTGTTATGATGATAGTTATGGTGATGATGGTGATATGGATGGTGATGATGAATGATGATAATTATAATGATGATGATGATGATAATGATGGAGATGATCGTGATGATGTTGATGATGGATGATAATGATGGTGATGATGGTGAACACATTCCACTCGTTCACACTCTGACCCTGGGGAGATGATTATGCTACAGAACAGGAAGTAAATCTGAGTTTAGACTCATTCCAATCCTGCATGTGCTCTTCAGTCTGAATCTCACT